CACAAACACCTCAAAGCTCACAGCCAGGGAGGCTGTGCTCCCCACAGCAGCCAGGAGGGATTGTAACAGTCACTGCTCCACAATTTCCAGACACGAAGGGGTTTGGCTAACAGTGAACTCTAATTCACACCAACCCCCAACGAGCCATGGGGGGGCTCATTAAGGGCTAATCACCGGTGCTCATTACTGAAGGGGCAGCCCAGAGCCCAGCTGGGGAAAGGTCCTGGCTGGTGGACAAGCATGGAGGGAGGAAAGCCGTGGCCGCTCCCCAGTATGCCAGGAGCACACGCTGGTCCCCAGGCTGAGCCCACCCCAGGGTGCTGGGGGGAGGGGCTGGTCCTAGCCCCCAGTAGGGTGCATGGCCCAGGCACAGAGCCACCCCCACAGCCAGATTGGGAGATAATTCAAGTGCTGGCACCTCTGAGAGCATCAGGGGCTGCAGGTGGTCCCCAGCCCACTGCTTCCTCGAGCTGCAGGGAGCCAGGCATGGGGTGAGAGGAGTCAGGGGGGCACAGCAGGGCTGGTGTAGGCAGCGCAGGCGGTGGGGGCCACACGCCTTACCTGGGTGTCACCGTGGTGATCGCAGTGGTGGGGTGGAGGATGTGGCAGGTGGTGATGGTGAAGGTAGACGGGGTCTGGGGGAGGTTGTTAACAGAGAGGAACACTGGAAGGGACAGGAGACAAGGGGTCAACAGCGAGGGGGGGCAGGACACAGGTGGGGAGCAGGACTGTGGGCAGCAGGAGAGCTGAAGCTGGACCGGGAGCTCCTTGCCTAGGGTACAGCTCCAGCAGCACTGGGGTTCAGTGCCTGCTCAGAGGGGGCTGCGAGCACAGGTGGGACAAGCAGATGCCCTCTGTGCCAGACCTGGGGTCAGCAGGGGAACTGCCCTCATGCAGCTGCAGACAGTGTCCCCATGGGGACAGGGGGGTGGCAGGGACAGGCTGCTGCCAGAGGGGAGAGCACAGGAGGGAGCAAGGGGGAGCCTGGGCAGGAGGGCAGGCAGGGCCGTCCTGGTGACTGTGTCCGCTCCGTGCCCTCACCCCACTCTCACCCCTGGGGCGCTCCTTGGCCTTGGCAGGCGATGAGGTAGGGAGCAGCTGGAAGGAGTCAGCATCCACATCATCCTCCTCCAGGTCATTGAGGCTGTACACCTCCTCCAGGTCGATGTCCAGCTGCTTGAAGTCTTTGGTGAGCACCCCAGGACGGGGCACCAGGATCCCGCCCAGGTTGGGCCG